TCTGTCTGTCTGTCTGTCTGTCTGTCTGTCTCTGTCTGTCTGTCTCTGTCTCTGTCTCTCTCTCTCTGTCTCTCTCTCTCTCTCTCTCTCTCTCTCTTTCACCCACACATGCACAGAGACCCTCACTCACAACAAAATGAACAAAAAACCACGAGAATGAGAAAATGCTGGGTCAAGGACAAGGCTAAAACTAAAAACAGGATAGGCGAAAACGCTATCGTGATAAACAATGTTTTCTCAACTACAAAAAAAAAAAGACTTGTTTGTTGCTGTTACATGTATTGTCGTTGTTTTTCACAGATTCGTTCCCAAACATGTTTTGAATTAGAGTAAAGAGCAGCATATCGACACAACAACGGTCATATAGTGTGAATAAAGAGAAGCACGTCGACACAATAACCGAATATAAGTGTGAGTAAAGAGAAGCACGACACAATAACGGCCATGTACGCGTGGTTATTGAGAAGCACATCGACACATATATAGCGGTCATATAAGTGTAGGTAAAGAGAAGCACATCGACACAATAACGGTCATATGAGTGGGTAATGAGAAGCTCATTGGCACAACAGCGGTCATATAGTGTGAGTAAAGAGAAGCACATCGACACAATAACCGAATATAAGTGTGAGTAAAGAGAAGCATATCGACACAATACTATAAAGGCCATGACGTGCAGGGAAGAAGCAAGATATAAATTATTTCAAATAATACCGTAGATTATAAAAACTCCAGATGGAAAGAAAAGAAGTAGGGCACAATTGACGCTCTCCAACCCTCTTTTCCATTCGCCATATATTAAAGTAGCCTATAATTAAAGAACTTGAAGCAGGAGAATCTGTTCAATTTGATTATCCTGGCAAGAAAGCGGCGTAAAGCGGGGCTGGGTTAAAAAAAAGAGGGGGGGAGGTGGGTTAATATCCTTGTGTGCTTGGAAAGACCTCATCAACGTTCTTCAGACCCAAATATAGACATTAGCTCAAGTAACGACTTCTTTTATTCAATTCTAACATATTCTTTTTTCTAAAGCATTAAAGAGCTACAATTATTATCATTTGAAGCAAAAATATTTAAAACAATAACAGCAGCGGTTTTATGATCGCCCAGGCAGCTGCCCAAACAGCAGCCAGTGTCAGTGCCCACGCTCGTCTATCGTGTCAGTCCATTATTAAAATATTAGATATAACGCTCTGCGTTTATTTCCAGTAGTTTTACTGTTACCATATCCGGTCCTCTTTGATAAACGTTTGCATGGTGATCCTTGTGTAGGAACGACGTTCCCGTTGAACGAATTAATACAGATCTAGTTAGCCTAGATATATTTATTGCGCCTCTCTTTTCTTTTCATTTCTTGTGGTAAAAATCAACAACAAAAAGCGCGTCAACAACAATGCCAAACAACTGTCAAATAAAAAAAAAAAAAAAAACCCCAGCGGATTATTTTAAAAAATCAAAAAAATCAGCACCACTGTTTTCTAAACTGAGACCATCATGCTATGGAAAGGCTTCTTCAAGTTCTGGAAGATCAATTTTTAAATCAAGAAACCACTCCCTCAGTGAGAAGCAATATCATATTTCATTGCATAGGCCTAGCCTTGATTTAGCTTTGGCTAGGCTAGTTTTTTTTATTTTTACCAGAGAGTTTACGCTCTCTTTTTTTAGGCCTCCTAGCCTAGCCGAGGCTACTAAGAAACGACGAGAACTTCTAGACTAACCTAACCAATCATAGCGTAAGTTTTCTGCGCCAATCGAAAGCTTGTGTGTCGTCAGTTCCGGCAATACCGTTCTCCCCCTCCTCCTCTCAACAAAGCCGGGTCAGGCAGGAAAGAGCAAGCTCAGTACTGGTAGCCCAGGGACTGGAAGAGAGAGGCGCTCCCACCGCACTACTATAAAACCGAAAGTAAGCAGCGCGTTCCCTGTTGCTCTTCGGTTCAAGTCAGCAGAAGATTTCAGAATGCCGGACAAAACAGTGTACGTTACCCGCAGGATTCCTCAACCAGGAATTGATAAACTAAAAGAGGTATTTGAGATTGACCACTACGACAGCGATGATGCTATTCCCCACCAAGTGTTGGTAGAGGCATTGAAAGCAAAAAAATACGATGCCTTGTTGTGCATGTTGACAGATCAAATTGATGCTGAAGTGTTGGATGCAGCAGGTACGTCAAGGTTTCAATATTTCAGACTGATTTTAATCTGTACTCTCAACGTTTTTAATGTAGGACTTTTTCTCTATAGTTTAGTAGATCTATTTATTTGTGTTTTGCGAATAAGAAGAAATAACGCCCATTAGAACCTAGCACTAGGCTAGGCGATCTTCCGTGTTGTGAAGACTATGCTAATGAGGTTTCTCTGGTCCGGCGACCTTGACATTGGGGGCATCCTAGAATGTCCTTGTCTGTGCCGCTGCGTAAGAAAAAGGGAAAACTTGGTGACTTCGAATTGCCAGATTAGTTTAGACTGAAAACAATACATTATGCAACGAAGTTTTGTAACTTTTTTTTTAAAATGGAGACATAAAGCTTTATTTTTAAAAAGAAAAGCGAAACAGCAGTTCACCTTCCGGTCACTAATGTGCAAGGTTGTTGCACAGGGGACAACGATAGTATACATGTTCCGGGCCCACACTACAAAATTAAACTTCTGACTTTACTTTCGATATTGGATTTTTAATCGAAAACAGCAATAAAAGATAGCCTAATAATATAGTTTTGATGGTTTGTGCAATAATGATCTTTGGAAAAGGGGAAGGTGGTTGGGTTTGGGTGTTCAAACAAAAATGCAGTAATACTAATAGGGCTTACATTACAACCACCAAATGATAGATTCTAAGAGACAGAATAAAAGTTTGTAAACAATAGACATAAATCTAAATCGAGTGCATTCGTGGCGCAACTTATTGTCAAATACAGGGTGATAAAAAACAACAACAAAACTGTACAAATTTTTTTAAAAATATTTTCGTCCACACTGAAGTTTTGTACATCAAATTTGAACACAATATTTGGAAGTCAAAAGGAATTTGTCTAATATTAATTTTAGAAAAATCCACTGAATAGTTTTGCTGACACAGCCTGTAAAAAAACAACCCCCATATTCAGCTATGCCCCCATTTTTGTAGTATGATGCACTAGTTCGCATTAGACGTTGATCTAGGTTAGATCTACTAAAAATCCCAACGATTGAGCCATTGCATACTACAGCGGTCTAACAGGCCAACAGAAGTTTGCAGATAGATAGTTTTTTCTCAAGTTTCCTTTGCCTGCTGAGATCACGGTTAATGGAACTCTTTCCGGACGTAATTTTTTGGGGATGTAGACGTAATTAACTTGTGGCTCGATTTGGCTACACAGGTGATATACAAGATAACTTTATATAAGCATAACCATCAGTCAAAATGTTACATATGACATCAAATTGAAGGAAATAGAATGAGAAATACCTCCCAACATGAAACAAGGATTTTTGAACATTTAAGTATGCATTACAAGGGTTAGAAATGGCGATGGAGATCAGAAAAATAAATTTTGACGGAAAAATTACATTCACCAAATATGTGAAAGCAAATCAGCATAGCTATCTTATCATATACAGGCCAAGAACATTTATTATGATCCATAAATTTCTGAAATCGCAGCTTTTTATTAGAAAGCAATACTCCAATTTTTGTTTGAGTTATGATATTTATACTGAGTCCGGTTACATTGTTTTGTTGATGCAAGACTGCAAGAACTAATTCACTCGTTTTTACCCAAACCCACGCTTTAACAAAGTGAAACTAGATGTTTTCGTTTCCTGAATCTTTTCCAAGTTTTCAATAACAATAAAAAGTAATAATTATAAATGACGGATCATGTTACAACGAAGCAATACTGAGGCACCCTATCATAGCCGATATATCAGGGATACGTCCGGAAAGTGTGTGGACTATCGCCTATATATTGGCGATATGATTTCGTCCGGAAAGAGTTAAGATAAGTAAAGAGCAGAGATCAAGCTTTTTGTATTGAACATTTCCTCACCATCAACTCTCTTGGTTAGTTTTGCACAAGGTATTGAAATAGTGTTAAAGTGCCCTTAAGGCCCTCTTTGATGTCAAGGGTGGAAATTGTCCATCAGTTGCTACTTGTAGAGAATCAGAACTAGGTCAAACACACACCGTTCGTACCCCTTTAAACGTCACCAGGGTGCAGAATTCAGTAGCTGAGCTCCATGAGACGTCTGTCCATAGACTATTTCTGCCTCAGTAACTTTCTTCCATCTCACCTGTACGCATTCTCAAGGCATATCTTCATCTACGACTGTACCATTTGCCCATTGGGAAGCTATCAAGCAATGTGTTCATGATTCCTTGATCATCCTGAAATGCGGGAACATTTCCTGTATGACATTTGTTCCTTGGCAAAGCCCATATTCACCTTTCAGGTTGTATCAACTCCATAAATGCTGTCTATTTGGGCAACCTTCCCCCTCCCCCCCTCCTATTGTTTCTAGAAACAGCTCCATACAGTAAGGAGTACAGAGTATGTGGCTTTGATTACTCATTATTGAGTGAATACTTGTGTTTGGCCATCATTGAACATTACGAATGACGCTTTAAAATGTGTCTAGCCCAAAGGAGGACATATAGACCATTGGTTCTTGGAATTCCAGAATTTAAAAAATAATTTTTTAAAACTCTGTAGGAGATAGAAATATTGTTTAAAGAGTACAGGGATGGAAAGGTTAGATTTTGAAAATAGTGGGAAAGGAAAAATCAAACTAATCATTTCGTGACTTTCCTTACAAGATCTTTTAGATTGGTGCATTTTGCATTTATAGGTGATTTTTATAAAAAGCCATTTCCGTTTTCAAAAATAAGTTTCTTCTTTGTGAATTTTATGTCAAACAAATTCCTTTTGAATGAATTTATCTATTCCAAATTACAACATTGTAGTAGTACAATTAGAAAAAAAGTGTACAGTTTTTCAAATTTTGTGCGAGATATTTAGAAAAAAAAGTGTACAGTGTATCAGTTTGTCTTAATAGATCAATATTTTTGTAAAGACCTGTTACCTCTCTATTCTAGAAAATTCCTTAATAAATACTAATAAAAAATCCTATAGTGTGGTAAAAAATGCAAGGCGCAACACTATCGAACACAGATTCTCCAATTTTTGCCCAATGGCTTACATCGATTTGTCTTAACAGGTGAATATTTTTTCAAACTCTTGCACACTGTATTCTAGAAAATGCCTTTAAATACTAATGAAAAATCCCTGTCGATGGTTTCTACAGAATTTTAAAAGTTTACAGCTCGGGCAATATTACTTTTAAAAGCAGGTCTGTCATTTTTTTTCTAATCTCAACATTATGCTTATTGAACGTATGTTTAGGGAACGTTTAGTGCAAAAAATGTGTTCACTGTAAAATTAATGTTTTGTAATAAATTTTGCCACTAAAAAGTGTCATTGTCGAGCTGTGACGTAGGCCATATGCGTATGCAAAATGTGTGTGAGGAGCGGGAAGTGCTGTGAACAATCCCATTTTCAGCGTAATGAAGACTTATAGTATTTTATATAAATCTATGAAGAAAAGTTTTTTAATCGAGCCTCAGTTGTTGTGGAAAAATGAGATTAAGTTAAGACAAATTGATTCAAACTGATCAGATGTGCAAAGTATGAGTGACATTGATTCACCCGTTAAAGAGATATTTGAGGATAAGTTGCACCTCGAATATTTGACCGCACTATAGTGGGTGGTTTCTACTGATTTTAAAATGTTTACATCTGGGACGATATCGCTTTTAAAAGCAAGTCCGTCATTTTTTTCTAATCGCGAGATTATCTTTATTGGAAGCATGTTTTGAGAACTGTAAGTACAAAAAAGTTCATATTAAAATTAATTTCTTGGAACTAGTTTTGCCTCTAAAAAGTATCATTGGTGATCTGTGACGTAGGCTATTACAGTAGAACATGACTATAGCAGGACCATCCCTACAGTGGGACTTTACCGGAATCCCCCTTTTTTTTCCTATGTAAACTCAATTTCTTATGCTTGGATATAGCGGGGCAACGAAAGTTCCAAACTCGGATACAGGCATTCAGCGGTGCGCATTGTGATTGGCTAGTCCAGTGATGAGTGAGGTGGGGCTGGCGGCAGAGAGAGAGATGGTGCGGAGAGACGCGTTACGTGAGCCATTCCAAAATTTAAAGTGATGTGCCATAGCCTAGACGCTCCGTGCTGTATAAGAGCGTATAGGCCATAGCCCTAGGCTAGGCCAAAAAGTAAAAGAAGAGGAGAGCGTGTAGTAGTGTATGATTCCTGACTCATTGAATTGCGATTGTTGATGCTCAGGCATACACACGCATCCACTTCACCAGTTGTACTGTAGGCCTACTGGTACGATAGACAGCACAAGCAAAAAACCGACGAAAAGATGGCTTCCAACAAAGACTAAAGGAAATGCTTCTCACTCGAATTATAGGCCGAGATAATCAACAAAGAAAAGGAAGACTACTCTAAAGCGCAAATTTTATTAATATGGAAGGGATGTAATCATGTGGAGTTTTAGAAATTTTTCAGTAATTTCCCCTTTGCATTCCTATAGCGGGAACTCGCCTACAGCGGGATTTTCCTTCTGAAACCAAAAGTCCCGCTATAGCTGTGTTCTACTGTATATATGCGTATACAAAATGTGTGTGAGAAGTGGAAAGTGCTGTGAACAATTCCATTTTCCGGGTGAAGGAGATCTATCGTATCTATATATACATATTATATTTGTGAAAGTTCGTCACTTTGGCCGCCTAAAACTTTCGAATTTGACAAAATTAATGGTGGTTCAGAATCGTTTAAAGGGTGCACAGTTCTATTGAGGAGCCTTAAGTCACTGTAGTTTAATTTTCAGTTTTTCATTAATTTCGTTTAGATCTAATCTTGGGAAAGTCAGTCTTCTAAGACACCATTGTAAACAAGTGAGGTTTCCGTTCAATAGCTGTGCGCACTGTTGCCACACCTTTGAAATTCTGGAGTGTACAACCACGAAAGCGGAATAGAGAATCAATCTATACATCACTATATCTAAACCTTCTAATTTTTTTCATCTCTCAGGATTTATTGCTCCATTCCAGTAGAGTGTAAATATAGTAGGCCAATGACTTTCGGTTGATGTTAATGCACTGATCATTCCTTTCAACGGAAGGGGGCCCAGCTAGTTTTATATAAATTTATGAAGAAAAGTTTTTAAAAAATCTAACCTCCACTGTTTTGGATTATAAATAAGATAAGTTAAGACAAATTCAGACAAACTGATGTGCAAAGTATGGATGACATTGTTTCATGTGTTAAAGAGCTGTTTGAGGATAAGTTGCGCCACAAATTTTTGTCAGCACTATAAGTTGGCTCTAACATTATGCTGACTGCTGCATCTTCAAACTCTCTCTATAAGTATCCTTTAGATATATATATATATATATATATATATATATATATAGGCCTCATTAATGGAGGAATACATAGGCTTGTATTCCTGTGACAAATTGGTACAAATGTAGGTACAAACTATAGGATTGGATATGGAACAAGGGTTTTTCCAGTGACATCTATAATGCATCTATCTGTTCAAAACCATTTGTGTCATGATGTGACATGGTAGAATCAGACGCTCGTCAATTTTGGAGCATTATGGAGTTATTGATATCATCTTAAAAGCCTGTCCTTTTGCCTTGCTTTCGATATAAAATAAATAATTAATTTATGTTGGAAACAAGTCGAGATATTTTCAATTGAAGGAGGTGGAGGTCGCTTGGTCTCAGAGGTAAGGTTAGCGAGAAAATGGCTGCAAAAGTTTATTTATTTCCTTTGCTTGAGAGCCAGTGGAAACTGAAAATTTACATTTTTTAATGCCTTAAATCAACGTTCTTCAGTAAAGTCCACACAGAAATGTGTTCTTTATTGGGTAGGAAAGGTGTTGAGACAAAAAACAAAAATTCAATAAAAATTCCCCAACCTGCTGAAAAGGGCTGATTTCTTCACTTTAATTTTTTTTAAGAGAGCCTGATTGCACCTACGATGCCTCACATTTAGATATCTTAGTTCTGCAGGAAAAAGTTCTCATAAAAACCGCAGCTACTCATAGACAAAAAGTACAATCGACTTGTGGAACCCCCCTCACTTCATTTCAAAACCAAATATTTTCTGATGTATACGTAGCCTACTGGAATTTATATAAGACATAATAAATCCGAGCCTTGAACATGCAGCATTTGGTATGATACAGCAGAAACAGTCAGACCTCTAATCACCACCTGTCCTAGACAATACAATCACTTGTACCAATGGCCATTTCCTATTTCTCCCTTGCGTTTTTAGGGGATAATCCGGTTTTGGTCCCAATGATAAGTATGAAGTGTGGGTTTTGGCTCCACTGACGATTACCGTTGGTTCTAAACGATGATACATTTTGACATGCGTGCCGATATGGGGGAGATATCAATAAACCTAATTGCAAAACATCAAATTATGGTTAAATTCAGGGAGGGGGGCATTCAAAGTTGTTTGTAAAATATTGCCTTGATAAAAAACTACAGTGGAGTTGGCTTCTTTGGTAAAGCCAGGTTCTTGGTTTAGAGAGATCGCTCAAATAGAAAAAAAGTAATGAGTTTTATTTTCTTTTGGTCACAGCTGTTTTTGTCTTAAAACTTTGTTCAGTTTAAGCGGACTCCACTGTAGGACTCCTCGGTAATGACTATGCACTTGTCACTTTCTTTTGTCGGTGAAACCACCACTGTGCACATTTTTGTTTCTTTTCTCCAGGTCCACAGCTGAAAATTGTGGCAACAATGTCAGTTGGTTTTGAGCACATCAATCTTCAGGAATGTAACAAACGAGGCTACTTGGTATGTTGATGTCTCATTCTGTGAACTGGGGGGGTTTGGAATGATTTGATATGTTTTCACGATAGGCCTATATTCCATGATCCAGGCCTTCTTTGAATCAAGACCTTTGGAAGATTTAGTGACTTGCACAAGGGGGGGGGGGGGGAGAAGAAAGAAAAGAAAAACCAACGTATCCCCCTGGGAATCAAACTCGCATCTTCAGTGTGCGACGGTGGAGACGCTATCCACTACTACATTACGCTGACCCCGTGGTTTTATGCACCCCGCATAATTTAGCAAAATTTGATCATTTTTGGCGTAATTTCTGATTATTTTTCTGTATCGTTCTTTGTTAAAATTAACAGAGTCGTATAATTTCACATTTTTTGGGCTCATTTTGCATTATTTCAGAATTTTTCTTGCATAAAACGACTGGGACAGATCACAGATACCGGTCTGCCAACTGAGGCAACGCCAGGGGCACCGGAAGTGATAATTGACAGAAGACGAGAAATAGAATAAAGAATTTAAAACACACAAAAAAAAAAAAACGTCGAATGAGATTAAAACTAAAGTAACACGATGCTGTCTCTGTTTTGAAGATTTGTTGTGAGTTGTTTTGCGTATCTCCATCGCACTACACGAGAATCTGCTTTCACTTTCAGTTCTAAAATGACTACTCAGCTCCGAAACAAATTGACATAAAAACAGTTTTTATCTGCTTTTACGTTTACAATTCATTCACAAACTAAACTATGTCGTCCAATATCTCAAAAGTACTTAAAATTAAAATGCAGACAGTAGGCCTACCCTTTTTGTCTTTTAAAAGACGACATGACCAATGTATCGCGGTACCTCTAACGTTTTTGGCTGGTCTAAACTCTCAGCTGTGAGTGTGAGGTACTCAAGAACAGAGATTTCGAGAGTAGGGTAATTAATTGTGAATGTTTAACCCCATCCGTTCACCCTGTGGTCATTTTGTACCCCGGGGTTGTATTCTTTACATTTAAGATTACTTCTAGCACGAAAACCTCTTTCAAACTTTCAGTAGTTCTCAAAAAATCCTTTTGATAGACTGCTATGCAAAGAATACAGATCTAAAATTAACGAGAAAATTTCTTATTTTGAAAATGGTGGCACAGTTTCCCACGTCACATGGGTATGGTAGTTACACACGACGTACGGATAGGGTTAAGAAGCAGGCGACCAATGTTGTGGTACTGTGAGACTACTGTACAGTATGTGTGTGAGGTGAATAAAAGTTGGTTTAAAAGGAGGGTTTGGGGTG